CAGTGGTCTCGGCTGGTGAAGGGGGCGGGGCTGTGTCTGATTGGCCCCCTGAGGTGGTCTCGGCTGGTGAGGGGGGCGGGGCTGCGTCTGATTGGTTTCCTGAGGTGGTCTTGGCTGGTTAGGGGGGCGGGGCTGTGTCTGATTGGTTTCCTGAGGTGGTCTCGGCTGGTGAGGGGGGCGGGGCTGCGTCTGATTGGCTCCCTGAGGTGGTCTCGGCTGGTGAGGGGGGCGGGGCTGCGTCTGATTGGCCCCCTGTGGTGGTGTAGGCTGGTGAGGGGGGCGGGGCTGTGTCTCATTGGTTCCCTGAGGTGGTCTTGGCTGGTGAGGGGGGCGGGGCTGTGTCTGATTGGTTTCCTGAGGTGGTCTTGGCTGATGAGGGGGGCGGGGCTGTGTCTGATTAGTTTCCTGAGGTGGTCTCGGCTGGTGAGGGGGGCGGGGCTGCGTCTGATTGGCCCCCTGTGGTGGTGTAGGCTGGTGAGGGGGGCGGGGTTGTGTCTGATTGGCTTCCTGAGGTGGTCTCGGCTGGTGAGGGGGGCGGGGCTGCGTCTGATTGGCCCCCTGCGGTGGTCTCGGCTGGTGAGGGGGGCGGGGCTGCGTCTGATTGGCCCCCTGCGGTGGTCTCGGCTGGTGAGGGGGGCGGGCATTAGCAGGAGGTCTCGGTGGGTGTCCTCCGTGGTGAGGTGGTCTCTGAGGATGATACTCTAGGTCCTGACTTGAGTCTTCAATCGCTGTATGGGCACAGAATAAGTTATGGTGGTGGTGGGAGACCAAGACAGCCCCTGCTCGCTGCTGGCCTGGTTCACCCCTGCCGCACGGTGAAGAGCTTCCCTGTCTCACTGTGGGCAGTACGGACACTCCCATCTAGGCTTCTGAGGCGACTTCTTCCTTACACTTGTCATAAAGCAAGCCTTAGATACTGTGCAATTCCCAGAATGCCCAACAAGGGTTTAATCAGACACAGCAGGAGTTGGGCGGTCTTCTCCAAAGACAGCAGGGAAGCACAATGAAGTCCAGCGTGCTGCCGTTTGTACTTCAGAGTCCAGTGAGACCTCACTGCCTGCGGGTCCACATGTCACCCCGGGAGCCTTGCACAGACACTAGGGCAGGTTTCTCACGACTGTGACCTCATACAGAAACACGGAAAGTGAGAAGACAAGAACATGGTGCACACAGATTCTCTGGTTACTGTGCAAAGGCCTATGATGAATTCCAGAGAAAAGGGACATGTACAC